TAAATATATTGTTTAATTTTGTTTGTTTGTATAATGATCCGAATATCATACGCTTGTTACCAGTTTGTTAGTTTATTGTTGAGAAGAAAATAGGAAGAATAATAAATAAACAGTAAATAAATATTTCCAACATTCACACCAATTAGCCTAGCCTCAAACAAAGTAAGCAGTGTAAATACTGTGTTATGGAATACTAGGGTAACGGATAGAATACATATACTGTACATATTGAAGTATATTTATATAGAAATACATGTTAAACATCCATGACTGGAGCACAAATGCTCGTATTCATCACACAAACATCTGCCCGCACCGGGATTCGAACCCGGGAACCATCGAGCCGGCGACCACTCGGCCATGGAGGTCGTCAAGAGTGGAGAATGGAAATGTAAATCAATAAAAACTAAAATATTTTAATTTTAATGTAATTGCTGTTGGGAAACAGTATAGTCGAGTAAGGCACAGCGTACACCAGGAGAGGTGCGGCGAAGATGTACGCGCGGCAAAGCGCAAGCGGGGCAAAGCGCTGTGAGTTGGCGCGTGAATTCTCCGCTCCGTGGCTCTTGGTCATATAAGTCACGGTACGTAACTCTAGCGCTGAACAAAACGCGGAGGGGATAGCTGCGCATGGGTACGACTGGAGAGCCAACTATATAATCTTATATTATAACCAAGAGCCACAGAGCGGAGAATTCACGCGCCACTTCCCAGATCTGTGCGCCGCTTGCGCATCTTTTCCGTGGTTGTAATGAAATTCGCTTAGGGTGTAATGAAAGGGTTCTTATAAAAATGTGTTTAGTGAATAATGATTTCAAGAGGATCGACCCCTATATTATCGCTTTCTCTTTGTTTTTTTTTTTACCAAATTTATACTGTAGTTTTTGCGTGATTGAGTAACATACGTACAAACTACAAGCTTAAAAGTAACTACAAATTCTCAGGGTAAAAGGTAATGTTAGTAAAATTTAACAATTAAAACAAAACAACAAATCACCGATTAAGCATTAAACGGAGATTTTAAACAATAGTCCACTAAACAGTCGTAACAAAAAGTTTTGTTGCTCCATTTTTGCACAAAAAAGTTTGTTCAAAGACGCATGAGTCAAGTGAATGAATCTCGCGCTCTCACTGGTCCCAACCGGTCCGATATATCGTGTGCTTGAGCGGTGTCTATGTGTGAGTATCACACTTTGTACGTAGATGGATTTTTGCACTATCTCTTTTATACTAATAACTTTACAGGAAGAGCATATTCAGAATAAAACACGTATCCTTGTTAAATATAACAGGGATACCAGTTTATAGGAAAAGCATATATACAAGAAAACTCGTGTATTTCTTAAATAGTACAGGGATACAAGACTTTGAAGTTCACGCAGACGCAGTTGCATCCTAGTAAAAAATAAAAACAAAATTAAAAAGGCATCGGAATGATAAAATAAAACAAAATGTATTATAATCATGAATTTTATTCCGTCTTATTCTTTTGTTTTTAATTATTTTGATACTGTCATAAGATTTCGTAGTAACGGTTAGATAACGTGTTATCTTATAAACCTCCAACACATTTCGTTAATAAATACGAAGTTGCAATTCTTTATACATAAAAATATAGTTAAATAGGAATAATAATAATTTAAGTTACACAAATAACATTCAATATAACATAACAGGTGCGCATAAACAATATTAAACAATGTTGTGCAATGAAATCTCATGGAAGATGATCTTCTGCTGTCCAGTATTCAAAGCCGTAAACGTAAATCATTTTGTAGATTATTTTCGAAGTTACTTAATGTATATTTATTAAACTTTGTTCTATCAAAAATCGTAAATTAATTAACATTAACGAATTAAAAGAAAATTAGATAGAACAACGGCTAATAGGTAGTAGAGTAGCCGAGAGCATTCTATTTTATAACCCCACCCCCTTGATTTAATATCTATAGCACTTTTTTAAACTGTTACTGTTCATATAACAAATCGTAGTAAATATAAAAACCTTTATCAAAACTCATGTCGAAATAATCGAATTACGAAGTTAAAGATGGTTATATAAAGACGTACTTTATAAACGCATTTACCTATAATAAAAAATATAACTCATTACAGTACCTAGCTGTATCGTAAAATAACTTTTTAATAATTAGTACTCTTTTATTTTTAAATTAGGTTCGGCTAAATGTAAAAAAAGAGAATATAAAAATATAGAAATTAGAAATTATTTTCTCGCGCTTCCTATACAATTTTCTGCCAATCGTGTTTTGTTTTCGAGATTTCAAAAAACTTTGGCAAAATACTTTGTTGTTAATTTGTTTAATTTCAATTGTTCCTATGAGTGAAGATAAAGTAGTGTATAACTGTATATAATTTAGGTATTAAAACACTCTAATCAACCTATCATCGTGTTTTAATACCCCTTTTTTATGACAGTCGATAAACTACTATTATATAAAAGAAATTACGTATGGTAGACTCAGGTCCAGTGTAAAAGCAGTCACTTTTACAACGGTATAGTACTTAAACAAAGCACATCTATTTAATAAACAACGCGACGAGTAAATTTCAGAGTTCGTTAGTGATTACGTTGAAAAGAACTATTCTGGGGCAATTGAGGTGAATCGGGGTGGAGGAGAGTCTTAAACAACTACTAGAAAGCCAAGTTTCCCAAGGAGCAGCCAATATTTATTTCAAAGTGTACTCTGCAGTCTACCTACATCACGCTCCTAAAATTTATACTACGCTACGAATCTTGCAGTCTGGCTTCTAAAAGTAGTAATATCTTCGACAGCTGAAAAATGCTCTTTTCCGCTAAGAAGAACCTTCTAGACTTTATCATTGACAAAGTAGGCATTAGTATCTCGAGTCAGGAGTTCCTAGAATTCTTAGAAAACTGTGTTTTGATTGTAGTACTGTTCAATTTTATTCAGCAGTCAAATTCGAGGTTTTCAATTTGAAATGTGATGAATTAATTTTAAGTTAGTTTTGTCATTTTTATTGAAATTTATATTTGTACTTATGTAATGGCAAATTTTATGTAATCGTTTCAAATGATGCTTCAGTATTTATAAGATCAGATTTTCGTTTTCTGTAATTATAGAATTCATAAAGCCTCTCTGTAATGGATTCGAAACATTTTTGGAATGATTTTTTTTTTATTTAGTTTCGTACAATCAAAGAAATCAGACAAAAGAGATCGGTAAATACAAAGGTCGATTTTTTGCGTGAGATTATTTGGGGTTGCCCTCGTTCTGTGGTATCTTCATAATACAATTATTGTATTTTATTATTCAGAGCAGACAGAGCAAAGGTTAATAAATTTATACGGATTTAATTTGGAACTGTCGACCGCCTCTCTTTTATTGATATTAAGTTGGCCGAGCATAATAATAAACTCTTGAATTCAATAATGATACTCGTGTAAATTGACTTCTGAATATTTTGAAAATTCATCTTTGTCTCAATTTGGTATGAACTATGAAAAGATTCAATATGAATAATGTTAGGAATGTAAGATTTTTGCGTCGTAATATTGTCTACAGGCAACTGAAATAAATGCGCGCAAGTGAAATTGCGAATTCAAAACCAATATTAACACACAATTACACAATAATTGGTTTCAAATTTTAAAAACCGTCTAAAGTAAGGAACTCCATACCACGCAAAAAATAGTAAACCCGCCTCAAAAGACCTCCATTTTAAAACTGGATAGAAAAAGCAAAATCGACAGTTAAAAGCACTTACTTTTTTTCTTTCATCACAGATTAAATAATTACAATAAAAAATGACGATTTTGAGTCAAGGAACTATGAATCAATTGCTCAACAGATTAAGTATAATAGCTATCATCATCATCATCATCTTAGCCGTACGACGCCCTGTACTGCTGAGCATAGATCTCCCCCAAGGATCTCTATATCGATCAGCCCTGTGGCTATAATAGCTAACGTTAGCTATATTGACAATGGCTTTATTTTCATCGGCGAATCTAATTCCTAAGATTTCATTGCACAAGTAACGGGGTCCAATTGTCGTGTGATACAGACGAGATGTTATCGGTTGATTAGATAGAATGTTATCCAGATTGAACGTTTAAGTCGAGTCGATCTAACTAAACATTTGGTCGGGCTGAAGCTATTTGGGTCAGCCCATTTGGAACGTTATCACGCGCCATCACGTTGTAACGTGGTTTGCTTTGTTTTAGTTGTTAATAATAAAAGCTCAATGTGAACGCAAATAGCCTGCGAATTAGAATCTTCGATTAGTAAATTGTAATGTAGATTTTATATCTATTTAATATTTACGGCGTTTGAATGTTTTAGAACTAAGTAACTAAATTTTCGATGTATCGTGACGCAAAAATCTATTTTGTGAATCAACAAAGACTACAAAAACAAGATTCACTTTTGATTGAGCAGTTGTTTTGGTTGACATAATAACAGCGATCTCGTCTATATCACTCACGAACGAAAATGATTAAAATATTTTCCTTTATATAGTATACAGTCTTTAAGATACTAATATTTACATTAATAAAGTCATCAAATGACCTAGACTAGAATGAAATAACAGGAATCACTTCCATTGTAACAGCATAAAATTAAGGACTTCCTATGGAGAAACAAACTTTGTTCGAGGCTGAATCAATGATTTCATACTTTAATATTTCCTGTCCATTCACAATGGGAACGCAACAAATCAGAAGAGGAATTATTTACAAGTAAAAAAAACATAACACTGTCATGATGATTCACAATGAATGACTTTACGCATAACTTCACGCTATCAAGTACCATTATCTATAACCTTACGATGTTACCTGTAATCGTATATATTACACAAAAAAACCTTTCCATATCCAGAATTTACAACAGTTTTTTTATTTTCATTTTCACGATATTTACAACCATGCATTGTCCAGTGGTTACACACTTTAGCGTCACTTCACTCAACTGTAATGTAACACTTTACACATAATTGTAAATATCCTCCATTTCTCATACGTTCATTTCCGACATGGCCGCTTGGGGAACTCTCGACTTTTGGAAGTGTTGCGAAGGCGGCGAAGACGGAGGAGGAAGCACTGAACCGTTCCCTGGACCTTGGGACTGTCCAGTCTGAGCTTGCACATCTGGCAAATTACTTGCGCTGCTCATGAAAGTAGCATTTTTAGGTAAAGTCATGCAATTAGACGCATTGCATATTTGATTCTGTGTCTGATAACTGAAACCCACCTTTCTCGGCAAAGTGGTACATTGCCCTCTATTCGTAGGTGGACTAGTTTTCTGTGACATATTTGACATCTGAATTCCCGTGTGACAAACGTTCGGACAATTAGAGCTAGTAAAGTGCGGCACTCTGTTCGTCATCGCTATAATGGCGTTCTTGTCTTGATGATCGATGTCCACAATCGTGCTGGAGCTTTGGGAATGCCCGACAAAGTAATGGGGATGCTTAGAGGATACGCTATCGAATGTCGAATTGTGATTTCTCTTTTGTTGTTGCTGCAATGCTTTCACTTGTAGTCGAGTTTTGTCGCGTTGATAGTATACGCCCGCAAATATCAATACGTTGAGAATCAAAAGTGAGCATCCTATAGCGATTGTAACACTCAAAGCGGTTGAATAAGCAGTGTATCCCGCAACTTCTAAATTAGACACGTCCTGAGCACTCGTATTGTTTGCCGCGTGACTTTGAGTGACAGCGGACCCTGGCCTCGCCGACATGACACTTATGCAGGTAGTCACGTAGGTGTCCATTGTAGTGGAGGGTATGTCCAGCGTAACGTTGTAGATGGGACGCCGATATAGCTCAAGGGTCGGGTCGAAATAGTTTGCCCGGGTGAGCGGATCGGGCCGGACCAGCCCGTCGTATAGTTCCGGATCGTTGTGGTTTCTGAAAAGGTTGTGTTTCGCGACCACGTCCTTCATTCCGGCCCTGTGGATCTCCGGGATCAACCGTAGCCACACGGACAGCTGATGGGCGCGGTAATGGTTTTTCATGCGCGGTTTCATGCCTGCAATAGAATTTTCGAATGTAAAAGGGTCAGGCCAAATTTTACGGGCTCAAATTACTCGGTCGGGTGAGGTACGGTAATTAACTTTGAAGTTGATATTTTGCAAGCGTCACCGAAACTGCCGAGAATCTTTAAGAATATTTAAATTGTTTCAACTTTAATTAATTCAGTTGAAGCTTTTTGGATGAAATTGAAAATGTAAAAGATATTATTTGTATTATCTCTTTGTATTTTAAATTGTCATTACAATAGTCACACCGATACCATTAATGTGTCGAGAACTACATAATAATACCATTAATAGCTGGACATTTAATTATAATGTCTTTCTATTACATTTAGATAAAAATGTCACTTGATTGTGTAAGTAAATGAAATATGCAGGTAAAACATTGTTGCATCTCAGTTTCGCCAAAAATAATACTGTATTTTAGCTTACCAATTTCCAAGTATTTCTGATGAAGCGTATCATATTCGTCCCATACGATGCTTTTATATCGATTCCTCTCTCTCGAAATTGGAAGGACGCCCTCTTGACGTTGAGCTTCATTTGGGTTGCTAGTAAATAAATAAACCAATATCAGACAACTTTGAAGATATTTCTGTTACGCGAATTTATATTTGGCAAATTCTAATTGGGAATCTTTTCAAAAGCAATGCAAATTCATGTCGCCATTATTGCTTTGGTATGTAATAAGAAAATTTATAATTTAGAATAAGTTATTCTTTGTTTCATAAATGAAATATTAAATTGAACAATGCATACATATTTTTTTGATCTCACATAGAATACATTGTTATCTAGAATAAAAAGAATTTTCTTTAAGTAGGAGTGGTAAAAATGTATAAAAGCCTGCCTAGTAACCAATAACAACATACGAAACATCATTGGAAAGATTTTTTTGTTTACTTTTACTACTGTTATGGGTCCGTGCTGTTATGGCGGAAATTCCCAAGGTTCTGTGTGAAAAAAGTAATGACGCAAAAAAGCCAGACTTCATTTGCAAAAATATAAGTGTCTGTTTTTATGTAAATCATCAATTAATTTTTAGTATATTTTGTAAATCTAACAGAGTAGTACCAAAAAATTCTACAATAAAAAACGACGGGTTGCACTCCGGGAGTGCCAGCAGAAGTGAAAATTTGAATATTAACGTTGTGCATTTTTGATATTTTGGAATTTTGCACGAATTGCTTTAATTATCAGTATAAAAGTACTATCATTTATGTGGTAGAATACAATATTTATTTATTGCGCACAAACATGACAGTTTATATTACATTAAAAAGTTTCATCTCTCAGAAAAATCAACTTACATGAATCACATTTAAGCGCACCTAGCGACATCTATTGTAAAAAAATGCATTTTCTTCGCAATAAAGCTGCCGGCTGGACGTCCTAGATAGACTTATTATTATAATACGATAAAATAAAATATTACTATGTTTCGTTTAATATATTGAATGTCAACAACAAGTTGACACTGTCAAACAAGTGTAATATAATGTCAATTACATCCCTGCTAACCGAAATGTAACATAAATACTTTCTTTACCTTATATGGCGAGACTGTATACGGCCTCTTATTGACCATACATTTTGAGGCATATCGTACCGGTGCAAATCTCCTATCAAACCACCTCTCTACACTTCAGTTATATACAAGCCATTGTGCAAATGCTTTACACAATATTATGGTGACTAGTTTTAGCTAATATGAACCCTTAGTAAAGAGTTTTAAATTATTTTCTAGCTGGCTTTATTGTGTCACAAGTTTTTTCACACAGCGATTTGGGACACTCCGCCATAACAACAATTAAAGTACATTTAAAAACTTGTCTAATAATATATAGTATGTTGTTATTGGTTCGTAAGCAAAAAGGAGGACTCCTTTGTTAGTAGAACAATATTAGTATTCAAAAGTCCCGATTTTCACCCAAAATCATAAGTTTAAATCTCGCACACCCCAAACTCATTAAGCCTTAAACAGATTCTTTTAACCGAAAAACTGTAACAAATGAAACGCCCGACCCCACAACAATTTTCCATCCCCTACCAAACAAGGCGAAACAGGAAACCGGCCGTTAGCGGTCTGTAACTGTTATTTTCGTATTCACCGAATCGCGAAAATAATGATACTCTATTATATTGTGTTGTTTAGTGCAAATGCTGGAAAGCGAGATGGTAACTTTATGCAGCAAACGCCAAAGATTGTAACAGGATTCGCCGCAAATTAACTGTGGGCGATGCTATATTTTATGATTGTTAGGCAACTTCGAACTTTGTAACAGTGTTGCCCGTGTATTAGGTTTTTCGAGAAAAAATACGAAACAGCTTCATGATCTTTATGCTGTCTTGCTATTAAACACTACAATATATAAAACATCTTTTATATTTTACATTATTGTTTGAATTAAAAATACACTGGCAAAATACTAAATTTTTGATAAAAATAGATATATAAGTACGATGGGTCTTTTTTACTATTTGTTAACATAGCGTTAGTACATAATTAAAAATGTATATGCAACTGAATGTTCGGAAATTTCTTTTTTACTGTCTCACATGGAAACATCAAACCTCCTTTTGAGTATAAGCGACATGGAAGATCTGAATATCCCCGTAACGTTCAAAGGCTACATCAAAAGGATACCCAGAAATCAAAGTTACTACTATCGCGTCAAACGTATACATGGCTCATAAGTCTACGCCATAAATGCTATTTTGCCGTGGTAGGGTGTCGGCTTTGATATTCTCTCTGGACACTAACCGAGGGCTATTAAGTGTAACCATCGTTTAATTAAGTAACGTTCAATTTCGTTTGGCTTTCCGTTGGAACACTGTTGTTTGATGAGGACATAAGCGTTTGATTACCATTTCGAGAGCTTGTTTTGACGACTATTTAGTAAGCTAAGTCTAATTGTAGCATTTATGTTGCTGTTTATTTATTCACCTCACGTTGTAACCAACATTTAGAATAGATTCAACAATCTCATCAGCGCCTTTTATTTAATTTTATATTTTTCAGTTGAGATTTCCATAATTGTTTGTTAATTGGAATTTAAGATAAATTTAGAGATTAGCTCTTTGGAAATCAAACTGGCGAACCTCTTCCACTGATCCGCATTAATCTGATACGATTATGTCTTTGACAAGCTAAAGCACTTCACTGTTTTAATTTCCGATAGGCTTCCATTTTAAATAGTACTATTGTATTGATCTGCTTTAATCAAAACACCAATAATAATCATTATTATTAAAATAACATCTAAATTTTATAAAATTATTCAATACGCACACAGAAGTTTAAAATGGTCTCCAAAATTGAATTGGAATTATCTTGCTAAGTTGAATTATATTATTGTTTCAAGATATTGGACCCCCGATATCAGATAAGGACAATTTCTCAACCTTTTCCTTCCTTTTGCCTTTCATATAAAATGAGATAAATTTCAATTGAATAAAATGCAAGGCGTTTACAATTTGTTTACACTCTTATCTGTTATTCAAGAGCTTGAATTTTTCTGATGATGCTATTTGATCTTTAATTTAAATTTGTTTGCTTTACACTTACCCTGTTCTGATGAAATTTGCCATGTACAGTATGAAGGTTTCACTAAGGGCTACTTCGGACTTGGTGTAGTTTTTGGGAAAGTGCCCCAGTCCATCAACTAGCGGTGCACCGAATAGGTACGGCAGTTCTTCACCATGTACTGAGCCCATTCGCTGAAATAATACTATTACTTATTAACATTTTCAAAGCCTAAAATTTCCAACTGAATTTAATAAAAGTCAGGAACAGCAACCTATTAATGTCACCACTGCAAAGACTCAGATTTCCCTCAGTATGGAATAAAGGTATTGCCTACGCGAGACTAATGCTGACGACTACAGAAGCAACCGGGTCCAACAGCTTAACGAGGAACTTAATATAGTACATTTCTGGTCACCCATCCTATGACCGACCATTGCGCGGTTGCTTATTTTCCACGTTCGCTTAACGAACTAGTACACTACGCTATTTAGTAAAATTTTAAGTCAGTTTTTACTCCAGACTGAGATTTCAGAAATTTCGTATTTTATTTATGGAAGTAAAATATTTTTAATGACTCTCATTTACTTTTTATGAAAATTTGAAAAAGCCTTCACTATTATTAGTAAGGAATAAAGTAAGAAAATCAATGATGAAAACAACAGAAAAGGTTTACAGTAGCTACCGATACAGCAAGTACTATAAATGGTACTACCACTTCCTAAATAAATCATCAATGGGAAATGGATTTTGTTGAACTCAACTTAACTTTATTGTGTACGCTACTGTGAAATTCCGAGTAAGTTACATAATTTCCAGAAAATGATAATGAACTTTGTAGAATTCTACGAAGCCCTCGTCTGCAATACTTGATAGTTACACTTTAATTGAATTAGTTTGTTCATAAGACAATCAACCTTTTACTAATAAAGATCACTTTGACCAAGGACAAGACTCTCTGTTCCTTGTTATTTAACTCAATTAAGAAATAAATTCCATATTTTAATTAATTCTTTGTATTTACCTAAAGCAAAAACAAATGAGTTTATTCAGTAGCTCAGTACCACAGTACATCGCTTTTGATGTGGATACCACCAAATCAGAATTCTAATTAGCTATGATGAAGAATAAAAATAAAATACACGAAATTTCAACAAATCTTCTCGATATTTCCAAATATAGGAACCGCCGCTTCCAATTTGAAACAACAAATTAAACAATCAATTCTATTGTTTTGTAGTAATTAGCCTTGTGATGAGTTCATTGAATAATGAGTTTATTGAAATATAAATTTTCTTGTCGTGTAAATAGATGTTCCACAGGGTGGTATTCTTTCTCCTCTTCTTTTTTCGTTGTTTATCAATTTTTTCACTACTATGATTCATTCCTCTTACCACCTATATGCGTATAATCTCTAACTTTATATTCATGCCGACAAAAATGATTTGAATGAGGCCTTGGCATGCCTAAATGATGACCTTCATTGGATTTCGGAATGGTACAACTGTTACGGTATCTCCGTTAATCCAGCTAAACGCCAAGCAATCATAATAGTGTCCTGCTGGATTAAGGTTCACTAAAACCGTTACTTTATAATGGTATTTCAATTGTATTTCTAGCTAGTGTCAAGAATTGTCTGGGAAGAAATTTGGAGGTGTGAGAAGAAACTTCTCCAAAGGAAGGAAGTCTACTCTTAGACTGTTCTCTCAGCTGGAAAGATCAAGTTGATGAAGTTTGTCGTATAGTTATTAACACAAGTAGGGTTCTGGACAGATTGAAGTTCTTTCTCCCTTCCAGTACAATGGTTACGCTCGTACAGGTTCTCGTTCTTCCTATCCATGACTATGCCGACGTCTGCTATTCGCTCTATCTTCGGTGTGCGTAAGTACGTCCATATCTCTCACTATGGAAATGAACTCAAGTGGCTGTCCATACGTGACCGTAGAAATCTCCAAATTATATGCATGCTTTTCACTATTTTATGCGATCCACGTGCCCCAGAATACTAAAATTCTAGGTTTCAGTTTCTGGGTCCTTCTAACTGCGTGATCGTCGCTCTTGTAGGCACCTTACCTTCAAACCCATTTTCACTATTCTAGTTTTGTTTTCAATTATTTCACCATTATAGATATATGTCTTTGGAATGTCAATCAATCCTTAACAATTTCAATTGTCGCATAAATTAATTGATAGATGTATTTAAAGGGGATAGTAATTTCATAATATCTGTTATTTTAACAAATTTGCGTCGTTTTAAGATATTTTGTATACGATATGAATAATTATTTTTGTATGGGAGTGTACCTAGTATGTTTACTGTTTATAATTTGTTCCCACTATTTTTTATTTATGTACACAATTTTTAAATTTCCTCAGGTAACTCAAAATTCACGGTGTACTATATCGTTAACAGGGCATAAGAAGGAAAAATAATACATGTTCATGGTGAATTATCTGACACATACCTGAGGGTAGTCGCCATCTTTGGTCTGGTAATCAAAGACGTAGAAGAAAGTCTTAGGTCCCGAATCTGGTGAGCTTTTGGCTACGCTGAGGAAATCTCCCGTCTGGACCAACGGCGCTACGTACTGGGCGTCCGATATAGCCAGCACTGCTGCGTCCCTTGTGTTGATCGGATGCTACAAACAAAGGTTCTCATGAAGAAGTAACATTTATGGTAAAAATAAGGCAAAATATCATCATCTATAGAAAAATCTCATTGGTGAGGAGCACGTTGGCGCAAGTGGTTAGCGCGTTCGGCTGCGATCGTTGAAGTTAAGCAACTTTCGCAGTGGTCGGTCATTGGATGGGTAACCAAAAATTACTATCTCGAGCTCCTCCATGCTTTGGAAAGCACGTTAAGCCGTTGGTTCCGGCTGCATCTGCAGTCGTTAGCACCCACCAATCCGCACTGTGCCCGCGTGGTGGGTCATGGCCCTAACTCCCTATTCCATCCATAGGGAAGGCCTGTGCCCCAGCAGTGGGGACATTAATAGATGATGATGATGATGATAGAAAAATCACTTTTTCAGAATCTCGTCTGATTCGAGTGGATTTTTTTAAGTAAATTTTTTCTTGTGATTTAATAATCTAGCAGTTTAGTACTTACAACAATAATAATAAAATATCATCATGATTATTCAGTAACATTTAAAACACATTATCTGTAGTTACGTATTAAGATGTTTAATGAAGTCCCCTAAAAAGATTCATTCTTTCAACACTCTGTGGTTTTTCTTAGTACCATGTTGTGTGATAGATGCAGGCTAGAAGTGAATCGCTGGTACCTCAGGTTTCAGCTTCGCATTCAAACTAATTTTTTTAATAAGATCAGACAAAACACTCTATTTAATAGGTCATCAATAAAAAATCTTAGCGACAAATATATACCTAAACCTAAAACAAAAGGCGGTTAATTTGTATCTATAGACCAAAGGATTTTAATATTAATGTCGGCTAGCGGTGAACGTTTTAAAGTTGATCCCCCAACCCTTAACTAATGGACCTATCAAGACGCTACGCTTAATGAAACATAATATTGATGATGATATTCGCTTGAAATGAAATATTAATCAATCTTAAAATGGGGCATTTGAATTTTCCTTACTGTTCCTTGGTGATTTATTTTTTAGACAGGACGCTTATACAGAATATACAGTGTCTACATTTAATCTAGATTTTTTCTAGATGGAACTTTGTAAGACGATAACGAAACTAAGTAATCAGTATTTTGATTATACATACAGTATAGTTATATTATATTATTGATTTATCTTAATTTATCTTATTATTTATTTATCTTTAACAAAGTTTCTACGGCGATTTTTGTGGATGTAATACAATAAAATATGAATACATTCTTAAGGCCAATTACAGAAACTTATTATGTACACATGAGATACTAACGGCGTTACTATATATCAATATAAAATTATATTTTAAAAATAGTATAAAAATATATATAATTTACGAACATAAAAAACAATTAAGATTGGATAACACATAACAAATGACAAAAAAAAGAAAACAAACAATAAATACCCATATAAAAGGGTTTTCAGGAATTTGTCACATGATAACTTTATGAAGTGTGGGTGTGTGTGAATGTATGTATGTGTGTGTGTGTGTCTCCATGCAGCTGCAATACTATGCCTCGTTGACAAAAACAATCAGCTAGTAACGGTTGCCTTTTATATATAATAAATAAATAATAAAATAGCCCTTGCTTAGGTTTTCTTGACGGTTCTTCTCAGTACAAGGTCTCCCGCTGTTGATTTACGAACCGATGGCATAGCGTTTGACTTTCACAAGAGCTTGTTACAGCCTAGACTGAATAAATGAGTTTGATATAAATACTAGCTGATCCAGCGAACTTTATACCGCCATAAAAATAAGGTTTGGTGGTAAAGTGGTGAAAATTTAGGGTTTTGTATGATGTATCATAAAAAAATAAAATCAAAAAATTATGTTCAAACAAAAAATAAGGGTGGTACCCTTAAAATTTAGGGGAATGAAAAATAAATGTTTTCCAATTCTCAGACCTACTGAATGTGAATATAAAATTTCACGAAAATCGGTCGAGCCGTTTCGGAGTAGTTCAATTACGCACACCGTGACAAGAGAATTTTATACATCAGATTAATAATTTCTTTATTTCATCTCAAATTTACAAATAGGGAAGATGACTATTTTTTTTTCTTCGTTTATCAGGTAGATTATCGAAAAGTATTGGACACGTATTTTTTCTTTTTTACATAATATAAACATTGCAGAGATATATTGATTTGAAAAGTCGCATGACGTCACGTTTTAATACACTTTTAAGTGAAAATTCACTAAAAACGTCACTTTTTAGTGAATTTTCACTTAAACAAAACACTAGCCCCTACTCCCAACGCTATAACTTTGTCATTTTTTGGTTGATTGCCTAAGGAAAAAATACGTGTCCATTATTTTTTGATCATCTAACTGACGGACTAAATAGAATTTCGTTTACTGTACCCCGTCATCACCCCTATTCATCCTCTTATATAAAAGATGTAAATACAGAAAATTCATTACACAGTTGGAGGCTTACGGTAACAGCCGTAGCTAGTATAGACTGTGTCACAGCTGCCAACGTCTCCCACCCTGATTCAATACTCTAGGACAATTTACTCATGACGACAAAAAGAGAGACCTATAAAAATAAAGAACAATAAAAAATCTATCATCATCATCAGCCTATTAATGTCCCCACTGCTGGAGCACAGGCCTTCCCTATGGATGGAATAGGGAAATTGGGCCATGATCCACCACGCGGCCTCAGTGCGGATTGGTGGGTGCTAACGACTGCAGATGCAGCCGGGACCAACGGCTTAACGTACCTTCCGAAGCACGGAGGAGCTTGAGATAGTAAATTTTTGGTCACCCATCCAATGACCGACCGAATAACTTGCGCCATCGAGCTCCTCAGTAAAAAAAATATATACAGATGAAACTCTTTATGCACTGATTTATCTCAAACTTTTCCAGCACATTATTGCCTTTGTCAGGTCTATAGAATCACACAATTAATCTAAAATAACTTCTGTTCTCGTATCGATATAGCATGTTTTCGTTAATAAAGAAAATGTTCGTTCCGAACCCGATATGGAAGGGTTATTAATGGCCTCGTTTACTTCTTTTGACAGCGTTTTATAGAGCTTAATTTACGTTACGGCATCAATATACGTGACAATGTAATCGGAGATATCGAAAAAACTGAATGTCTGTTTAATTTATCGATGTTTACTTTGTGTTCGGGCAGGTTTGGGATCATGTACGCTTACGTTGTTTTTTAAACCCTCAAGCTAAGATAAATATAATTGGAACTCGTTAACGTAATCATTAAAGGGAGAGAGGGGTGGGGAATCGCGTGAGTGACGTGTGGCGGCGTTTTGTATCGGCGCATTAAGTGGCCGGTGCGGGCCACAAGAAGCGAGCAACGACGATTTGTAGCGTGTGGCATATAAAATGTATGAAATGTATGAAAACTACTAGAAATATGCCGGTGGCGGCGTTTTGTGGCTGTGGTCGGTGGCCCGTGTGCGGCGATAAAATAAAATAAATATTTCCAACACACACCAATTAGCCTAGCCCCCAAGTAAGCACTGTAAGGCTTGTGTTATGAGATACTAGGGTAACGGATAGAATACATATACTGTACATATATTAGTATATTTATATAGAAATACATATTAACCATCCATGACTGGAGTACAAATGTACGTATTCATCACACAAACATCGGCCCCCACCGGGATTCGAACCCGGGACCTCTCGAGTCGGTGACACCATGAAACCCGGCGTACAAACCACACGGCCACGGAGGTCGTCAGATATGTTTTTGTGTTTATTTTATTTGATAAAAACCCATCTGAAAAAATCACTCGTAGTTAAATTTTAACACGAAGTAACGGACGTCAGTGTTATATTCAAAATATTGTGTTTCAAGTTACATAGTTTATATTATGCTCAGTCATAGTTTAAATTTCAATATTATTTTCAATAGAACAATACAAATACGCAAAACATGGGGTATCAATAAGTTGCATAGAATTTATTATAATGAGCCTCATTATAATAAATTCGACTAATAATTCGAGGAGCTCGATGGCGCAAGAGGTTAGCGCGTTCGGCTGAGATCGCTGAAGTTAAGCAACTTTCGCAGTGGTCGGTCATTGGATGGGTGACCAAAAATTTACTACCTCGAGCTCCTCCGTGCTTTGGAAGGCACGTTAAGCCGTTGGCCCCGGCTGCCTCTGCAGTCGTTAACACCCACCAATCCGCACTGGGCCCGCGTGGTGGGTCATGGCCCAATCTCTCTATTCTATTCATAGGGAAGACCTGTGCCCCAACAGTGGGGAAATTAATAGGCTGATGATGAAGCAGGTAAGAGGCAGGTAAAAGAACAAAAAGTAGCTTCATCATCATCATCAACAGCATATTTTAGTCCACTGCTGGACATAGGCCTCTCCAATTGCACGCCACTCAGATCGATCTTGGGCTACTCGCATCCAGCTCCTGCCAGCCACCTTGCGCAAATCGTCACTCCATCGTGCCTGAGGACGTCCTACACTAAGTTTGCCTAGACGCGGTTTCCACTCCAGAACTCGTCTACCCCAACGGTTATCGGTTCTTCGGCAAATGTGGCCAGCCCACTGCCACTTCAGCTTACTAATCTGGTGGGCTTTGTCGATAACTCTGTTTCTCTGTCGGATCACCTCATTTCTGATGCGATCCTTCAGAGAAACGCCGAGCATAGCCCTTTCCATGAGCTGAGCGACTTCGAACCTGTAGACCAGCTTGTAAGCTGTAAGCGACAAAAAGTAGCTTGGTCTTGGTAAAAACAAAGCACAAACAAAGAATTAATAACGAAGATACTGGTTTCAGTATCTGTATTTCAGTATTTCTCTATCTATCTAGTTTCAGATAGTGGTTTCCTTTCGTTCCTTTTATGTTATCAACATATTATATAATTAACATAAAAAAGTGTAAATCATATCCCAAGTAATAAAGTAATAGTAATAATAATATGCACATTTACCTTAAAATATAGTTAATATAT